TTGGGAAGTTGAGGTTAAGGACGGTACCTTTTGCTGGGCGACCATGGCAGGCTGCACACAGAGAAGGAGGGAGGAGATTGGAAGTGGTGTCCAGTGGGGAAATTGACAGGAACATGGGCTTTACCTAAAGGATCCCCAAAAGCATCTTGGGAATGCTGTGCATCCATGGACACCCGCCTCAGAATCAAGCATCTGTCCCCTACTACTGACTTTGAATATTGCCCATGCTTGTGCTGTGAGCCATGTCTGGACGCGTCCCGTCCCATTGCAGTCCCTTCTGATGACTAGAAACGTCTCCCACACCCTCAGCCCGTGGCTGCTCTTTTCCAGAGATTCCCGCTGTTCTTGTACACCTTGTCACCTAAATGACCGTTAGAGCCCGTTTGTCAGATTCTGTTTCTTCAAAGCGCCAGTTGGAAGTTTGGTTGGGATCCTGGTCACTTCCGCCATGAATCTGAAACTCCCCACACAGGCGAAGGAGGTTTGAGGGCAGGGTTGTGGTCAGGTCAAACTGTGAAAGTGATCTCAGTCCCTTCCTCTTTTTACAGGGTCAGTCAGTCATGCAAATTGCCAGTGGGTGTGTGGCCAGGTGACGGCACAGCTGTGTTTTTCTGCCTCTAGGTAGAGTCGTCCCTCTGCTGGACGAAGAAGGAGCCGTTCCTGTGAGGTACACCTGCTTCAGTAGTGGCTGCCAGGCAGACACAGCCATAGGCCACCTACGTGGTTTCTTATGTCTTAAACAGCAGATACCCTTGCACAGTCTCTCTAATGAGGACTGTGGGGTTCACACCTGAAGCCCCACCGAGAGGTGACCCAGGACCTTGAAAGTGGCAGAAAAGAGAGCGCCCATGCAGAGCCCTCTAAATGTGGTCCTGGCCTTTCAGAAGTCCTAGTTAATAAGGAAACCCACCAAAACACATCCCACACTTGGCCAAGAAAGAACAGTCAAGTGTCTGTCTCAGTCTCACCATGATGAGCACCAAGCCTGCAAAGCTGTGGCTGCCATGTGCTACTGCCTTGGCTTGGGGTCCTGGGAAGAGGTATGTGTCTCCTAGAAGTCAGTTCTAGGTTTGCTTCTGCTGTGACTATATGAGTCCTTAAAAGTGGTTTGGTCTCTGGGCCTCAGCTTCCTGCCTGAAATAAAGGGATTAGAAAAAGCCAGAGCAGCTTGACTCAGGGCTTCTGTGTCTCCATGGTGTGGAGGCACTTCAGGGAAGTTTTGTTTTTTCTTAATTACTGAGATTATAAGAAAAATAACTTTTCTGTGCCTCTTTATGGGAAAAGATCAGGAACCCCAAGATGCTGAAGACATAGTTCGAAGGTCTCCCACTGTTTGTGATTATCCCCAGCCTGAAGCATCCTTAGCCGTTTTGCCTGGCTCTCGCCCAAGTCTCCGCATCACTTCTCCCCTTGCTCACCTCCCCCTTGCAAGCAGAGCCTGTTTCCTGGAACATGGAGCTGGTACTTGCCCAGCCTACTCTCTGGGTTCACAGGGAGGGCTCCGGAGGGTGTCCGTAGGCCAGCACTTTGAACATTCACACTTAGTGCAAACTCTTATGAGTTTAAGGGAATTCACAGCTAGCCTCTGGCCAAAAAGGAGCTGCCTGTCTTATTGGAGGCTGGATTAGATGGACGCGGAGCCAGGCAGTGGAAATGATTGTCATCCAAAGCCATCCCTGCTTCGGTCTACAAACATCCAACTTCTTATTAAATTGACCCCAAATGGAATTTGTTTCTCTCATTTCTATTTTTTAATCTTTATTTTATTTTTTTTTAAGTTTTATGTGCATTGGTGTTTTTGCCATGGGTGTCCGGTCCCCTGGAACTGGAGTCACAGACAGGTGTGAGCTGCCATGTGGGTGCTGGGAATGGAACCCAGACCCTCTGGAAAAGCATTCAGTGCTCTTAACTGCTGAGCCATCTTTCCACCCTATCATTTCTATTTTTTAAAAAATGGAAAAAGGATTTTGCAACTTTTAAGAGAATAACATGTCCTGATCTCATTACGGAACATATATTTCCATCATCAAGCTGCTGGGCCAGTGAAATGCGTTGTTGGAATATCTGTACCTGAATCCGAGAGTAGGCATAAGGAGAAGGTTTCCTTTGGTTTCCACAGAGATGCCCAGTCTCTTATAAAAAGGGCCCCTATCTCTCTGAACTGGGATGAGGTCAGCCGAGGACCACTGAGCTCCAGCAAGAATTAGGAAAGAACCAGCTGAAGATTCTTATGCTGGCCAGGCAGGCCTCTAGCATTCACTGACAGCAGCTGTCAGTCTTGTTAGGGTCTCATGTAGCCAAGGCTGGCCTCCAAGTCACGCTGTAGCCAAGGATTACCTTGAACTTCTCCTCCTGCATCAACCTCAGGATGTACTGCAATATCATAGACAGGTACCACCATGCTTGGTTTTCCGCAATGCCAAAGACTGAATGCAGGGCACTGTGCATGCTGGGCAAGCACTCTGCCACCTGAGCTACAAGCCCCAGCTGGGCTCTGTGTCTATAGGGGATTCTTTCATTGCTTCCTTGGACCCCTCATTTGTTGAATGGAAGTGGTATTTATCAATGAGCTACTCTCAGGATTCAGTGAGTCAGTTCCTGTGCCGACATGTCTCCAGTGATGGCAGCCGTTGTTACAGAAGAGCTGGCCTGTTCCTCAGGATACATAGTCACAGGCAGCATTATCAGCTGGGTGGGACAGCAAAAGTACCTCTCTTTGTCCCTTGGCATCATGTCATTTTGTGACAGCTAAAAGCTCACAGTAGCGCTGTACTCTATTAACGGTGAAGAAATGCCTCTGAAGCATAGAACATATTCATATAAAAGTTCCACTTTTCTAGGCTGGGGAGCTGGCTCCATTGGCAAAGTGCTTGCCTTGCAAGCATGAGAAACTGAGTTCAATCCCAGAACCCATGCATAAAAGCTGGCACAGTAGTGTGTACTTATAATCCTGGTTCTGTGGAGGTAGAGACAGGCAGATTCCTATGACTCAATGGCCGGCCAGCCTAGCCTGCTTGGCAAGCTTCAGGCCTGTGAGAAACCCTGACTCAAAAGAAATTTTAAAGGTGAGTGGCACAAAATGGCTCCCAAGGTTGGACTCTGACTTCTAAGGACACATAGGTACACACACACACACACACACACACACACACACACACACACACACACACCATTTTTGCTTCTGTAAACCTCTACAGTTCCTCACCCACCCATCACACTGCCTCCTAATGGAAGCAGTTAGTAATTGCAGGTCACACTGCAAATGGAGTAGCCGGAAGTCTGGAACCCGTTCACCGGCTCCAACCCTACTCTACTTTTACTTTGCAGTTTTTATGGTTCGTGTTTGAGCCTTCCTTCTCTGTTGACTTCCCCATCATTCCATCTGGGCTGTAAACGTCTGGTGATGCACAGGTGTCCCTGAGATTGATGTTCGACTCCCATCTTTATTTTCTTTTCTCCCCTGGACCACATCCTTTGCCCAGCTACCATGTCACTTCATCTCAATGTCTGATCTTCTCCCTTAGCTGCATAAAGTTCTAACGAGTGCCACTGCCTAGTTATCTCCTCGACTTAGCCTCCTCTCTGGTCACTTAATCTTGCCCCCCCCCCCCCCCCCGGAACTCCACCTCTGCTTTGTAGCCAGTGCGGGACATGAAGTCTTCCTGAGCCACTTCCCAGCCCTGATAGGAAGGAAAAGAAATGACATATGGGAGCCCTGGTCACTGGGATACATGAGCCACTGTTCCATGCACACATAAAGCTCCACCGTAGCCATTTCCTGGAGGAAGCATTTCCTGGAGGTTTCTGCGGCCCTGGCTAGGGGTTTCTTCCTTGTATTTCTCTTGTCCTCTAGACCCTCCCAACCACCTGCTTCTCCAAAAGCAGATGTTGTGACTACCTATAATAGTGACTGTGAGCCCACAGATCTGTTCACTTTTTCCCGTTTGATGTGAGATTCTGTGTCCCAATCAACAGCATCCGTCATCATCATACAGAGGTACTGGGTAATGGATTCAGTTCTGTCATCGAAGGTGAATTACTTTCATCCTGGAAACATGAGTGGTGACACAGTACAGCCTGATCTATGTTCCTCCAGCTTTGGTTGCATAAGGAAAGCACAAGGTTTCTTTAGTTTCCCCAGTCTGTAATTCATTGCTAGGAGAATGCGAGATGTATATTTAAACCCCAGATCTGCCCCAGGATGAATTAGTTTTTCCTGAGAAACATCTGTATCTTGTAAATAGACTCTTATAAACATTTGTGGGATGGGAAAATTCTCTCATCCTTTCAAATGACTGCATTCTTGGTTGATCAATGCCATCTGGTGAAGAAGGCCAGGCTGTTCCTCCTTTGGTGGCGACACATCACGTTGAATGCCTGGCTTCCTCTCACTGTCCTCTCTCAGCTGCGGAGCTGGGCAGGGGTCTCTAAGAAGGAGCGCCCCAGCCCAATTCCACACCTAGAGTCACCCTCCAGTTCACAGGCATGAGCGCGTCTCACCTGCTTCATGAACTGAGACCTGATAGGCCACAGAAGCAGGCAGTTCTGAGTCTCAGAAGCCATCCTGTGGGAGGGAGACGCTTGCTGGTGAGACAGTCCTCAGCCTTCAGAAGCTAAAACCAGAGGGACACTTAATAGTTAGTCCTTTCATCGAAGGTCTGAGCTGCAGCTAGCTTCCATCCATCCTTGGTTGCGTTACGAGTCTGGGAAGGTAAAGGTCAAAGGGGAAACTGTCCACTCTGAAGAAGTAAGTGATGGCCACGGAGTCCAGCAGCCATTACAGAGCTGTGGATGTCCCTCTGCATTGGGGGAGGGGTGGCAGAGAGTATGAGTGTGGCCACTGGCCTGAAGGACGGAGGCTTCTGGTTGGAGATAGGGAAAAGGTAGAACTGAGCCTGGAACCCAGCTGTGGGGTTTCAGCCCTTCACCTCCTGTCATCCCGCCTCTCTGGTAGCCGTGCCCATCCTCTGTTCTCCTTCTCTTCTCCTTGACTCCCCCACCGTGCTCGAGGCCGTGGTGTGCTTCTTCTCCGTCTGGTCCATCGTTGGCCTCTCAGGTTTCCACACGTACTTGATCAGCTCCAACCAGACAACAAATGAAGATGTAAGTTCCTGGCCGCAACACATGGGTATCTGCCTGGTTAACCTCGGAGGAGGAAGAGGAAGGGGAGAGGTCAGGGACCACCTTTTCCTCTACATCCCACTCCAGCTGTGAGAACCTGGGGACAGAGGATGAAGGGAAAGCCCTATGAGGGTCCTACATGTATGTGTGGGGCATCTCTGCACCCACTTACATTGTACCATGATGTCAGTCCCATCCCGAAGATGAGCGGGTATACCCAGGTCTGACCTTGAGAAGCCTCTTCCAATCCTCTTCCATAATTTTGGAGGCAGCTTGTCACACTTCCCCAAGCAAAGACAGACCATGGCAGGCTGACATCTCGGGGGCTAATTTTCATCCTTAACGTCTCTGGCTTCTGGAGGAAATTGCCCTGACCCGAAGTTGTACTTTGAGTCCAGGAGCCTCTGCTGATTCATAATGCAGGGAGAAGGGAGGGCTGGGGGTGGGGCGGGAAACATGATGCTGGAAGTTCCTTCTCAGCAAGTCTAGTTCTCACTTGCTCTCCATACTGAGATTTTTGCCTGTCCATGCATGTTAAATGTTTCAGAACAGATCCCGTTTCCTTAAACAAAAGCCGAGGAAACGAAACGATAAAATAGATGAGAAACCGCTAAAACAGCACATTCGATTTGGTAACTATAAATATTGGAATCTGCAAAACAGACAGTTTTACCAAGAGGCTGCATTCTTGGTCTAAACTGGCCATTAAGGAACCCGTATTAATGTTGTTTCAGTTAGCATTCACTTAATTACAGCTTAGGGTTGGGACGGCCAGGGATATGGCTCAATGGATAAGGGCATTTGCTCTGCCATCATGAGGACCTGAATTTGATTCCCCAGTCCCCACATGGCCAGCCACATATGCCTGGAACCCCAGCATTAATTGGGGAGATGGGGGGGGCAGAGACAAGCGGAACCTGTGAGCTCACAGGCCAGCCCGCCTAACTGAAGCCACAAGTTTCAGGTTCAGTAAGAGACTCTGTCTAAGGCAACAACATCTCTGGAGAGCAGCAGGGGAACATAGCAAGCATCTTGTTCCAGCTTCCGTATGCAGCAGGCCCATACCCCTACCTACGCATGTGCATGCACCACACACCTATGCAGCATAACATGCAATAAACAATAAATAAGACAGGTGCAAGGTATAAATATGAAAAACAGAGTCTCCACTGGTTTTCATTAGAGGAACTTTTAATGGTACCGTATCATCTTAAATGAGGATTTTTTTGTCCCAGAGACCGTCACTCTCTCCCAATCTAAGCTACTGTTTGAGGATATTTCTAAATTTTGTATAAATGCTTGTTTTCCACAGGGAGAAAATGCCTCAGTTTCTCCCAGTAAAGACTGTTTGTAGTGCTAGCCAAGGGAGCCAGCGTCTGGCATGTGCTAGGCAGGGGTTCTCCCACTGAGCTACATCCCGGCCCTTGTTTGCATCTTTCAAAGGCGTCTCTGGGTCCAGTTTGCCATAAACTCTGGCATTGGTACTCTAGACACTGTGTTATTGATGCTCCTTTTCTTTCAGATCAAAGGATCTTGGTCCAATAAAAGAGGTAAAGAAAATTACAATCCCTACAGCTACGGAAATATCTTCACAAATTGCTGTGTTGCCCTGTGTGGGCCCATCTCCCCCAGGTAAGAGTCACAGGTCTCAGGAAAGCTGATGTCTTTGTCTGTGGTAATGCAGTTCAGAGATGGATGCCTGCCCACGGGCCCCCCTCCCCCGCCCCTGGAGCCGACCACACCCACAGAAGACCCCCAGTTCCACTGTCTTCTGTGTGTCCCTTAGACTCACTCAGTGACACAGAAGCCTGGCTTCCTTTGGTCATACTTTACTTCTTTTTGGTCTTGAACTGAATTTGTGTCCAATTGGGAAGAAATTTCCTCTGTTTCAGACGAGGCAGACAGAAGCATGTGACCTCACTCATTACTGACTGACGCTGAACTTCTGGGGTGGCCTGGGACCTGTGATCAGCATAATTAGGGAGTCAGAGCTGTGTGTAGGAAGCAACTAGAAACCATAAAGGGATAAAAGCTAAAGGCTGAGGCGCAGACATGATGCTCACATAGTCCCAAGGGAGATCTAGGGGAAATGGAGTAGGTGGTGTCGTAGGGGTAACACTGCAGGTGGCCATTGCTGGTGGCAGCAGCTGGAACCTTCTCCCCCACCCCGTGTGTGTGTGTGTGTGTGTGTGTGTGTGTGTGTGTGTGTGTGTGTGTGTGTGCGCGAATGTGCACGCACGTGTGTGCACGTTTACCTCCTACTTGCTTTGTATGTATCAACTTTTGAAATGCTCGTTCTACGCCTATGAAGTGGATACTATTGTCTTCTGTTTTAGGGGTAAGTAAACGGAGGCACAGAATCTAAATAACATGTCCAAAAATCGCATAGCCAGCAAATGCTGGGTAATCAGGCCATCTGACACAGGAACCCATGTGTGCGTTCCCAGGTCAGAATTACACAAGTTCAAAATACAGCCGACGTTTGATTATTTGCGAGTGACACCAGAGTAGACTATTTCTTCAGAAACTGATCTCTCCTCTACAAATACCAACAGAGCAGGTATCCGTGGCAGGTGTGTCTGAGTGGGTTTCTAATTGATTTGTACTTTCTCCATCTGGTCCCAAATGTGAAAAACAAAGAGAAACCACCAAGGTGGCCGGATAGCCTCCAAGGCGGTTCCCCTTGTGTGTGCAGCTCTCACTGATGTGTGCTTGTGGGATGCACACTCCATGCTGCTGTCAGCCCTGGCAAACCCTCATCAGAGAAGAAGAGTAACTGGAGTGGCGGAACAGCCCTGACACGTGGCCAAGGCCATTCAAGCACAGAGCAAGGCTGCTGTGTTCACGTCATGGAGGGCTCACGAGATAACTAAAAACGGGTCCTATACCAACTTTGGCCCAGAATGCTAGGAGTGCAGTGTATCTCTCTCCTCCTGAACTAGGAGCCTCGGGGGAACCCCATCTACTCTGTTTGCTTTGTTGTTTTGTTTTGTTTGTTTTTCGAGACAGGGTTTCTCTGTGCAACAGTCTTGGCTGCCCTAGAACTTGCTCTGTAGACCAGGCTGGCCTCCAACTCAGAGATCCGAGTGTCTCTGCCTCCCTGGTGCTGGGATTAAAGGAGTGTGCCACCACCTACTCTTTAGGGAGTCTGCTTAGGGAACAGACCGACAGGAGTAGGCAAAGCCCAGAGAAAAGGATTGCCTGGAGATGAGGGTCAGGCCCCTCATGAAGAGTTCCAGATCCCCCTGGGCTGCCCTCTCAGGGGTCCTTAGGTCAGGAAATACCTTGAGAGCTATGAATCCCTCACCGTCTTAGATTGTCTTTCTGTGAGCGTGGTGTTGAGTCCTAGGGTAGGCCATGGAGAGGACCTGGAGGAGCATAAGGGTAAAGACCCAGACCATTATTCCCTTAACCAGAATACACACTGGAGTCCAGGAAAGGAACTGAAACCCCCCCCCCCATTCTGTCCACAGTCCTTCCTATTCCTGGTCCCAGATTTGCATGTGGCCCTGCTTGTATATTTACAGATCAAAACTTGTCATGACCAAAATACCTCCCTCACAACTGGATTGACTTGGTGTTTGTACTGGCTGGTTTTGTGTCAGCTTGACAAAAGCTAGAGTCATTAGAGAAGACGGAGCCTCAGATTCCTCCATGAGGTCTGGCTGTAGGCAAACCTGCAGGACATTTTCTTAATTAGTGGTTGATGGGGAAGGGTCCAGCCCATTGTTGGTGGTGCCATCCCTGATCAAATGATCTCGGTTTCTATAAGAAAGCAGACTGAGCAAGCCATGGGGATCAAGCCAGTAAGCAGCTCCCCTCCATGGCCTCTGCATCAGCTTCTGCCTCCAGGTTCCTGCCCTGTTCCTGTCCTGACTTTCTACAGTGATGAACAGTGATGTGGAAATGTGAATTCATCAAACCCTTCCCTCCCCAAGTGTTTTTGGACATGGTGTTTTATCACAGCAAATGTAACCCTAACTAGGACAAGTTGGTACGAGGTCTGTGGTAGACCTGGCCATGTTTGGGGAAGGATCGTGAAAGGGCTTTGGAATTTCATGCAAGAAAAGCCGCTGAGTGTTCAATGTTTGATGAGCTATTCTGTAGGAGCTTGGAAGATAAGAATGTTGAGAGCTGTGCAGAAGATGGAGGCCTGGTTTGTGAAGTTTCAGGGAAAGTTTAAAGACTCAATCAAGGCCACTTGTCATTTTGAATTAAGCTCCTGTGGTTCTGGTTAGCTGGGGCTGAAGAATGGGCTGTGATTAACAAGATTCCAGAAGTATTGAAATGAAACCTTGGCTTTGCCGGGACAATCAATGCTGGTCAATTGGAGCTGAGAAATTAGTGATGGTTAAGAGGAGACCAGCATCGTCGATGTGAAATCTTCTGGGAAGTGTTTCGTGTTCCAGAGACGGCCAAGGTTGTATGGTGCACTGGCAGCTGAACTTGGTAAACTCAGAGTCACCCAGGTGGTACTGGTTTTGAAGGCACGAAGGGATTATGGAGAGCAGCTGAGGCTCGGCACTGTGAGAGGTCAGGAGAGGCCATTGGTGAAGGTGCACCCTCAGTAGCAGTTGAAGGCCAAGGAGTAAAGGCGTCATGCCGAGAAGTCGAGTCTTGGCATCATGAAGAGAGCCCAGAAGAGGCTGTTGGTGAAAGTGCAGCCCAGTTCCAGGGGAGACCCCAATGTTTTGAAGATGCCAGTACCATGACCACCATGAACAGCAGCAGCAGTGGAGTGGAGCGAGCCGGAGCCTAGAAGACAAGCTGTGTGTGCTGCAGAGGACGGAGCCCGAGAAGCGACCCGAGCCCCTTGGAGGAGTCCAGAAAATCACGAGTGAATCCCAGACATCGGACACTGAGTTATTTTTACTGTTGGAGTTTGGTTTTGCTTTGTTCAGACTGTGACTGTGCCCTGGTTCTTCCCTCTTGAAGCGAGAGGTATTTAATTTAATTTTGATTTTTACAGGAGCCCACCACTGAAAGACTTGGAAATTTTAAAAGAGATTTTGGATTTTTAAGGAGATTAGATATTTCAGAGACTGAAGTTTTAATGTGTTTGAATTTGTAAGGAATGTGGGACTTTTAAAGTTGTGTTTTATATTGTGATATTAATATTAACGTGCCATCTTGGGGATAAATGAGAAAGGAAAAGTTCTAATTGAAAAGTGATGCATTCATGTGTCAAGTTGACAAGAATTCAGTTGTACTGGCTAATTTTATGTCAACTTGACACAAGCTAGAGCCATCAGAGAGAAGGGAGCCCCAACTGAGAAAATACCTCCATAAGGTCTGGCTGTAGACAAGCTTGCACAGCATTTTCTTAATTAGTGATTGATGGGGGAGGGCCTAGCCCACCGTGGTGGGGCCATCCCTGGGCAGGTGGTCCTGGGTTCAAAAAGAAAGCAAGCTGGGCAAGCCAGGTGGAGCAAGCCAGCAAGCAGCACCCTCCATGGCCTCTGCCACAGCTTCTGTCTCCAGGTTCCTGCCTTGTTTAAGTTCCTGTCCTGACTTCCTTTGATGGTGAACAGTGATGTAGAACTGTAAGCCGATCAAACCCTTCCCTCCCCAAGTTGCTTTGGTGATGGTTTCATCACAGCAATAGTGACCCTGACTAAGAGTGTTTTAGCCAAACTTGGGTCATAGTTTTTAAGATCCAAGTCCTTCGGAAGGAGCACTTCTCAAGAATGGCCTTCCCCCCAGAACTGCTTGAATTGCTTGCTAAAAAGGTAAACTGAGATCTGCCTATTGAAGTGTTTACATGAGCAGGTAGTGAGTCCTGATTTAAACAGCTCCAGTCTAGAAACAGTCTGAGGGTCCTTAGAAGGGGAAAGAGGGGGCATGTGTAGGATGAGCAGAGAGACGCTAAAGGATACTCTAGATCAGTGGTGACAGGGACTTCAGCTCTATTTGGGTCATTTGAGTAGAAAGTCCCTGGTTAGAGGTTAGCTGCAGTTTCTGAGATTGGCATGCTGAGCTGGGTTTGGTTTTCCTTGTGGGGACCCAGGATGCTGGCTAGAGTGATCTCTACCCCCTTCCACCCCACCCCATTGACTCAACTTGACAAGGAAAGGACTGGGCTCCTCTCTGTGTGTTAATAGGCATCCCTGGGTTGGCCCCAGGCCAATGAAGGTGATGATGTTCATCTCTGTTCTTCCCTCCTGGCCTTTCTTGCCTTCTCTTCCCTCAGCTCTGTGTCCTCATGTAACAGGACCTTCCCATCAGGCCAGTCTGCTCAGCAGTGCCATCCACCTCAGACATGGCTTCAGTTACCTTCTCTTCCCAAGAAGGAGGTAGTCTGTGATGAAGAGGGTGGTCTAGCTAGTCAAGAGAAACCAAACCTGATCATGTGCAGGAGGAGGCTAGGGAAGAGTGAGACACTGAGGAAATGGGTAGGGTAACTTAGGGTTTCTGTTTCTGTGAAGAGACACCATGACCACAGCAGCTCTTATAAAGGAAAGCATTTAATTGTGTGGCTTACATTTTCAGAGGTTTAGTCCGTTATCATCATGGTGCCACATGGCAGTGTGCAAGCGGACATGGTGCTGGAGCTGAGAATCCTACATCTTGATCCGCAGGCAATAGGAAGTGAACTGAGATACTGGGTGTAGCTTGAGCGTATATGAGACCTCAAAGCCCACCTCTACTGTGACACACTTCCTCTAACAAGGCCACACCTCCTAATAGTGCCACTCCCTATGAGCTTATGGGGGCAATCACATTCAAACTACCACAGAGGGCATGAGGGAACCTATCTTAGGTGGGGTTTCTATTGCTGTGACAAAACACCATGGTCAAAATCAACTCAGAGAAGAGAAGGATTTATCTCATCTTACAGCTTGTAGTCATCCAGGGTTCATCCAAGAACCTCCCATTACAGCTTCTCTGATACAGGCAGAGCTGTCTCCAAGTGGTCAGGTATACCGATTACTACAGACCTAACCTGTTGTCATGTGCCCTCTTCAGGCCTTAGGGATCCCTCCAGGGATTCTCTGAAGCTAAGTCCCCTGGTACTACCTCTATAGTACTTCCTAGGATGCTATAACAAAGTGTCATGAGATGAGGGACTTGAAACAACATACAGTTCTCACAGTTTGAGATCCGAAGTCTGAAACGAAGGCATCAGCAGTTGAGCCTTGCTCCCTCTAAGTAGGAAGTGTTTATCCTTGCTCCGCCCAGCCTCTGGTGGTGGCCAGCCGTCCTTGGTCTGGAGCTTCTACATTCTAGTCTGTGTGTCTGTGTTTTGTGGCCTCCTTCCTTCCTATGTCTCTTTCTCCACATGGTACTGTTATCTGTCTTCTCTTCTTAAGGACACCAGTCACAGTGGGCTGAGACCCTCCTCAATTAGAAAATCATCTTCTCATGGTTACCCTTGCAAAATAACCAGAGGTTACAAATAGGGTCACACTCACAGGTGCGGGGATTGGCACAAGTCAGCCCATAGTGTTCCTCTTCAATGTCAGTGGGGAGAATGTGGCTTTGGTGGGGATGGTTTGAAAAAAAATACTGAGAGAGCAAAGCAGAGTACATGCAGGTGTGGTCTGCTCCGGTCTCCCACAATGCACCAGCACAGTGCAGGCACCCCAAATACATTTCTGACTTGGTGTGATAAGATGGCATGACCTTGACGCTGGAGAGGAACAATGGTGACACTGGGAGCTGAGAGGCGGCGGCCAGGGTCTGTAGCAGGTGACAAGCCTTTAGACTGACAAGGGGAGCAACCACAGCCACAGGCCTCTTTAAAAGTAGAAGTGGCAGGGAAAGATACAGCTCAGTGTTAGAGCCCATGACTAGCATACACAGGTTCAGATCTCAGTACCCTAGAGGAAAAAGTGACAGAATTTGGTAACTGGCTTCATGTTGAGGCTGCATATGGGATATTCCAAGATGCCAAGATGGGTCCCTCACGGAAAGAGCCTGTTCTAATCTCTTTTCCTATTTCTATGATAACACACGCTAACAAATGCAACATAATGGAGGAAGGACTCTTTTGGTTCACAGGTCAAGGGTAATTCCCAACAGGGAAGCCAAGACCAGAGCAGCTTGATACAGCTAGTCGCACTGTATCCACAGGAAACAGAACAATGAATGCTTGTGCTCAGCTGGCTTTCTCCTTTGTATACAGTCCAGGATCCTAGCCTGGGGGATGGTGCCCCCCACAGTGGGATATTCCCACCTCAGTTAACCTTAATCAAGATAATCTCCCACAGACATGCCCATAGGCTCATCTCTCAGGCGATTCTAGATCTCATCACATTGGCCATCGAAATTATTCATTCTAGAGGGACCCCAGGCCTAGACATTTAAATCACGTTGCTATCATCTTTGAGCCTTTCCTCACCCTCTCCATCCTGTGTGTGTGTTCTTCCGCAGCCTAATCGACAGAAGAGGATACATCCAGCCTGACACGCCTCAGCCAGCAGCACCATCCAACGGGATCACTATGTACGGGGCCACGCAATCGCAGAGTGACATGGTAGGAGCTGCCCACGTCAGGGCCACTATTTCCTGTGAAGCTTTCTCTTCTACTGACACGCCCTCTAACCTAATAACACACGCCTGGAAAAAAAAAATGCCTTAGTAGGAGGGACGTCTGGGACATCCATATGACTGACATGCTAGCATGGGGGAGGTGAATGACCAACCTGCACAGTATTTGGGGGGAACCATGACATTTAGTCTGATTAGCTTGTTACTGAAGAGACACACACACATACTATATCTTTGCCCCATGAGTATATGGAGCAATGAAGGAAGTCCCTGCCACAAAAGCAAGAGCTGTTAAAGGACAGGATCTACCTTCCCACCAGGGCTGGACCTGCATGATAGTCTCCGTGTCCTGTGCTGTCCATTACCCAGTGTGTGATGCTACTCTAATAATGCACCCTGCTTCTTTAAGTGGGCAGTGGGCAGCCCACTACCTCTCCATACTTCCACCCTGAATCTTAGACCAGCCTGCAGCTGCTCTGTGCAATCCTCGGACCCAGGGCTCCATTATTTACAGTGTAAATCAAACTGCCTGCACACCTCTCCATAGCATGCATGCAGCATGCACACACGGCTTGTAAAGCAGGAGGTTGAGGAGGAGCAGGAAATGTCTTACCGTGAACATCTGCACCATAGCATGTTGACCCTGACCCTCACAGCCTGAGCTTCCTGGGGTATTTGGAAGCCAGTGGCCTCTCCCTGTGCCTAAAGAAGCTCCCAGCTTCTGCGGAGCTGAAGTTCAAGTCCCACCCACCCTGCTGTTGGCTGTTTGTACAGCTGAGTCTCCTACGTGGAGTTTCTGTGTCACACAGGAACTGGCTTGGGGGTAGACTTGGGGAAATCTTGCTGCTGAGCGTAGAGAGGTGCAAGGTGAAGGTCAGTGGCAGCCTATCTCCAAGACCTAGAGGTAGGGAAGTCATCCCATTCCCTGGTCACCGGTGGCTCCAGCCCCCTGCAGAAGGATGCTCGGACTCATGGTTCGGTAGCTGTGGTATCTTGGTTGTGTTGAGTAGCATCACTAACTAATAGTCTCCTTTGAAAGCAGTATGGACATAACACAGTCTTTGCCACTCTTCTCCATGAGCATCCACACATGCCCATGCAAGGAACCCTGAAGGCCTTGTACCATATTTCTCAGAGGGAAGCAAGAACAGGGAGAGTAGGATATATGCTTATACAAGGAACGATACTGAATTTATTAGGCAACAGATGTCCAAGGCACTTAACAACCTCATTTAATCCTAAACCAACAGTGAAAAAATTATCAATTTTTTTAGCTGTAAAGGTGAATATACCAGAATGTTCACCAGGGTGTATTGATTGCTTTTCTGACTGGCACACACGCTGATGTACATGCGTACTCCCACCCATTCATTCATCCAGCACCTCCTCCAAGGTTCTTGCTGTGTGCTGAGTGCTAGACTCCAGGGATAGGAGGCTTATAGTGCTGAGCACCCCCCATTCAAGGTCTTTGCAGTCAGCACAACATGGAAGCAAGTCTATGAAGACAGCATTGGAAACCTTCATAAGTGGCAGTGTCCTTAGGGACACCAGTGGCCGTGCATCAGTTTCATGACTAGCATCCCTAGCACCGATGACCCCAGATGGCTCTGTGTGGTCCTTGGATTTAGAAAGTAAACAAAGATCATCCTGAAGGTGCTGTAAGCCACTCTGGACTCTGTAAAGGGACATGGATAGGTGGCTTTTATATTGCATCGGCCAAACTACCTGAGAGAACAACTTAAGGGAAGAGAGATTTATCTGGGCTCACGATTCAGATGGTTCAGTTGACGATTGTTTGGGCAGAATGTGATGGTGGTGGGGTGTGTGCCGTAGAATATGGTGGCAGGAATGCGTGCAGAGTGTGTTCTTCTCTCCTGGGAGAACAGAAAGCAGAGCAGGGGAGGGGAGAGTGAGAGCAGGTAGGAAGAAGATGCCCTCTTTGAACAAACACCCAAGTGACCTGCTTTCTCCTAAAGGTTCCAGAACCGCCCACCACTGGCCACACCCCTTGAGCCTATGAGGGGCATTTCACAGTCAAACCGTAATAGCAGGGAACTGTGTGGTGTCAATCCTATGCCCTTCTGTCTGTCATAAGAGCTGTACAGAGGCATCTCTTCCACATGGGGGTGCTGTAGAGTCAGCCAGCGGCAAGCTCTGGGCGTCCAGGGTGCTGACCATTATGTGGTGGAACTGAAGCCAGCCTTTAGATACAGAGGGGACTAAGGGAGGGGGAACTGACCTCAGAGACCAAACGGCCAGACCAGATAAGTGAGCTTGGCAAGTTCCATAGCCTTTCCCCGACCCCACGTTTTCATCCATAAAGTGAGAACATTAGTGTTGTCATCTGGGAGGGCTTCTGTGACGATAAGTGGGTTAATGGAGAACATCTAAATCCTGCCTGACACAGGGCCAGTACAATGTAAGCATTTGCTCGTATTATTCCCTCCCTGAAGTTCATGGGTAGCAAGATCCGGAGCAATTATAGTCTTTTGAGCATCTGGACAAGAGAGGATCTGACCGATGAGCGTGAGAGCTGGGTTCCTACCTGTTAGCACCCCTTTGCAGCTCATCCTACCTCTCTGGTCCTCAGTGTTCCTCTTTTGCTATGAGTCCGATCTTTGAGCATCACAGTCCCAACACGTAGGATAACCCCACCTATCAAAGGATGAACTATGACTCTCGGCTCTTCCTCCTCCAGCCCATCATGCCCCACAACTCCCCAAAGTGAGGACGTCTATTCTTTCTGGAGGATGGAGGCATGCTGCCATCTGGTCTACATGCCACACACCCCTGAGAGTCCCACTGTGTATTTCTCTTCTCATTTGTCTTGTGTTTCTGGGGTAAATCCCACTTGGTCATGATATGCAATTATCTTTTTAGGATTCTTGATGCGCTTTGCCGGTACTCTGCTGAGGCGTGAGAGATGTGGTCTGTAGTTTCCTTTCCCTGTAAAACTCTTTCAGTGTTGGTATCAGAGTGATTCTGGCCTTCTAGAATGACTTCCTTCAGAAATGTGTCCTCTGGTCTTCTGCTGAATAAGTTGTGAAAATGGATGTTGTCTTTTCTTCGACGATGCTGGAGAACCCACCAGTGAGGCCGCTAGCCTTGGGCTTTCCTTCACAGACAGTTCCTTGGCTCTGTGGTTAGGAGTCTGTTCCAAGTTTCTGTTTCTTGGGCAGTGTCAGTCATGGGTGTCTCTGTGGAGATGTGTGCCTCTCACCCATTACTGTTGACTCATATCTGCTTTATATCTGTACTGTTCTATTCCAAAAGGAGATGGAAGAGGAGATAAAGGAGCGCTGAAACGTTAAAACAAACAGAAAATTACAATCATTTGTAAATGTGGAAGGAAAGAGATAGAGACTTCAGGGCAATTAAAGAAGCACACAGTGGAGGGCTGGCCAGATGGTTCAGTGGGTAACGCTGCTTTCCATCCAAGGAGACAAGCCTGACGATCTGTGTTGGACCCCCGGAACACACATAAGCTACAAGGAGAAAACCAAGTCTGCCAAGTTTTCCTCTGACCTCCACACACGTGCTGTAGTATGCACACACCCACACCCACACCCACACCCACACCCACACCCACACCCATACCCACACCCACACCCACACCAAAAATAAGTAATAAACTTTAACTCATTTTAAAAGCACACAAAATAATTCTCAGAGGGGCAAGAAGGGATTTATTTTTGGAGGATAATCTTTGTTTTAATCTGTGTGTATGTGAGAATGTATGATTGTCGATGTGTGTTCACGTACATGAGTACACGTGCACTCATGTCACAGCACACATGTAGAAGTCAGAAGACAACTTCAGATCTCAGTCCCTGACTTCCGCCTTGCCTGAGACAGTGTCTCTTACTGTTCACTGTTGTGTGTGCCAGGCCAGTAGCCTGTGGTCTCCTGGTGACTCTCCTGCCTCTGCCGCCCATCTTGTTCCTGCACGTGGATCTGCACCACCGTGTCCAGCTTTATGTGGGTCCTGAGGATCCAAGCGTACATAGGTCCTCACACTTGGATGAGAAGCGCTTTACCCACGGAGCTGTTTTCCCAGCCCTGATTTTGGTGTTTATTTTATTATTTTATTTTTAAAGATACATGTAACTCTCCCAGCTGAGAGACTGGCACCTCCAGCCAAGCAACTCCACCAAGGGTCACAGATCTTTTACTGTTTGCTCTGCTCTCTCTCTCTCCCTTTCAGTAGTGTCGGGGCCAAATACACATACCCAGCAGTTCCCTGGAGCTGTCAACATATGGTAAAATTAGCGATGGTATTTTAAGGGTGGCAGCACATTACTTCTTTGGGGCTATTAGAACATTCCTTTCGTTTGACTTCCTGGACTACCTATAACAGACAATAGACATCCCAACTACAACCATCACACACACACACACACACACACACACACACACACACACACACACACACACACTGCCATCCCAACATAACCAGGACCAGCAGGGTGTGACCAGCATACCATAACAGCTCCCAAGCTATCTGGTGTCTAATGCAGCCTGAGAAAGCAGCCATCTCCCCTCTGCTCCTTGGAAACAGGAGCAGCTGGCCCAGGTGTTTGCCAAGAGATCCATCGCTTTCCTTTTTATATATTTATTGTATATAGTTAGTTCTCACAATCAACTCTGAAAAATCTTGTATCCTAATCTTCAATGTGAAACAAACATGCAAATCCATAAATATTGAGTTAGTCAGAGTCGTAAAGTGAACTTCAAGCCGTTTGGAAGCAAAGCCAAGTTTATTTGGTACAGACCCACACTGCATCAAATGATACCAGACTGAGGTTTCTCTCTGTTAATAACTTTTAAAGTGTTGTTATTTGCAAGGACCGTCTTGTTCCCTTCTCATTACAGCTTAGAAGGTATCCCCATTTGCGGTAATCTGGGTGAGAATGTTCCCCATAGGGTCAGACATTTGAACACTTGGTCCCCAGTTGGTGGAACTGTTTGGGGAGGTCTAGGAGGTAT